AATCCAACCCAAAAAAAAAAAAAAAAAAGAAAGTGTTAAGATTCTTAAGCGTGCTTTTTGTTACATTTTAGGGATTTTTTTCCTGTAAAAATGTATTTTAAAAATGTGTCCAAAAAAAAAAAGTGTATTCACGGGAAATAATCCATGTACCGATTTTCATTTTAAGCTGCATCCTGATACATTTTTTTAAAAAATTGAACTTTTCAGCAAAGCAAATCAAAAGCTATAAATGAAACTCATATATTATACGCTAAATCAATATTATAATCTACCAAAAAAATTTATTCATTTCATCCACAAAAATAAAAACTCAAGACGACTTGAAAGAAAGCAAACCATATGGTGTCCTGAATTCATTCACCTTTAAGCCATATTAAATTTAATCTCTGCCCTTCCTCTACTACAACTGTGTTGATTCTGGAATACATGGATTATTAGCCACATAACTGGCAGTTTGATTTATTTTATACACTGTTTAATATATCTAGATGGCCGGGCTCGGTAGCTCAGCCTGTAATCCCACGCCTTTGGGAGGCTGAGGTGAGTGGATTGCCTGAGCCCGCGGGTTCAAGACCCGCCTGGGCAGCGAGACCTCATCTCTACAATAAATCAAAAAGTCAGCCGGGCGTGGTAGCACATGCCTGTAATTCCGGCTACTCGGAAGGCTGAGGCGGAAGGATCGCCGGAACCCAGCAGGTCGAGGATGCGGTGGCCGGGAGCGGCCACTGCACTCCAGTCTGGGTGACAGAGTGAGACTCCAACTCAAAAAAAAAAAAAAATATATATATATATATATATATATATATCTAGATGGCCGAGCTTCCTGAAAAACAAGACTGAAATGACATACTCAAAGTAACCTTTCATTAACAAAATGGTCAATCAGAACAGAATGAAACTCGGCAGTGGCCTGGGAACTCTTGTAGAAACCTCTCAGCTGCATTTATACTCTGCAGTCACACTTAACTGGTCAAAATCCATTCCAGTTCAATTAGTCCTTGCCCAGAAGTTTTAGAAGTAGCAATGAGTCAGAGTCAGTCTTTATCTCTCACTCTCTCTAGTAGCTGAAGCAATAAGATGCAAAATTCACATACAGTAACCTTTTCTACTTAACATAGAAAGTTGGGCTGTAGTAAGAGAAAAATGAAGCCAACAGAAGCAAAGATGGAACTGTATTCTGATGGCATTTGAGCCCCAATCCAGGATTTTCCTGTCTCCAGTACTCATTTAAAAGTTCTTTTTTGAGCTGGGCACAGTGGCTCAAGCCTGTAATCTCGCACTTTGGGGAGGCCAAGATGAGAACTGCCTGAGCCCAGGAGTTCAAAACTATCCTGGGCAACTTGGTGAGACCTCATCTCTACAATAAATCTAAAAATAAGCTAGGCACGGTGGCTTATGCCTATAATACCAGCACTCTGGGAGGCTGAGGTGAAAGGACTGCCTGAGCCCACAGGTTCAAGACCAGCCTGGGCAACTTGGTGAGACCTTATCCCTACTAAGTCAAAAAATTAGTCAGGCATAGTGACACATACCTGTAGTTCCAGCTACTTGGAAGGTTGAGGTGGAAGGATCACCTGAGCCCAGCAGGTGGAGGCTGCAGTGGCTATGAGCGTGCCACTGCACTCCAGCCTGGGTGACAGAGTGAGACTCCAACTCAAAAAAAAAAAAATCAAAAAATAAGCCACACATAGTGGCACATATCTATAGTGCCAGCTACTTGGAAGGCTGAGGTGGAAGGATCACCTAAACCCAGCAGGTTGAGGCTGCGGTGGTTGTGAGGGTGACGTTGCACTCCAGTGTGGGAGTCAGAGTGAGACTCCAACTCAAAAAAAAATGTTCTTTTTTGCCTTAAGTCTTTTCCAACTGTGGGTCTATCATTAGCAATTACAAGAATCTTATCTGGCATACGTAATAAAGCGTCTTTCACTTTATAGTAGAATCAAAAGGCCAGCTACTTCCTGACTACATGCTCTCCTCATCCTTAGGCCTCACAGAGTTGTGCTGTGGATCTAATGAGAGTGTGAACACTTTATAAATCATAAGGAACTATTTAAACTATGTGTGTATATACATATATATATATATATATTTTTTTTTTTGAGTCAGGGACTCACTCTATTGCCTAGGCTGGAGTACAGTGGCACAATCATGGCTCATATAGCCTCTGATCATTAGGCTCAAGAGATCCTCTCACCTCAACCTTCCAAGTAGCTGAAACTGCACCTGTGCACTATCCCACCTGGTTAATTTATTTTTTGTAGAAACGTCATCTCACTATTTTACCCAGGCTGGTCTCGAACTCTTAGGCTCAGGCAATCCTTCCATCTAGGCTTCCAAAGTGCTGGGATTACAGGCATGAGCCACCACACCTGGCCTGATTTAAACAATATTATTGGTAAGTGTAGTTGGTGAATTGTGATTATAAAAGGATAGCTTTAAAAATTCAACTTGAGGCCAGGCTTGGTGGCTCAGTCTGCAACCCCAGCACTATGGGAGCCCGTGGGTTTAAGACCCGCCCAGGCAACTTGGCGAGACCTCTACAATAAATCAAAAATTAGCCGGGTGTGGTAGCGCACACCTGTAGTTCCTGCTACTTGTAAGGCTGAGGTGGAAGGATCGCTGGAGCCTAGCCAAGGCAAGGCTGCGGTGGCCAGGAGCATGCCACTGCACTCCAGTCTGGGCGACAGAGTGAGACTCCAACTTAAAAAAAAAAAAAATTCAACTTGACGTAAGTATGCATTAACTTAACAGTTTTATATGATTCCTTGGTAGTTGTTTCTGCTTCTGTCATATTTAAAATACACAGTAATAAAGGGTTCCAAAGAATTTTACAAAAGCAAAGATCTGGTAGGGTACACTGGTAGGGTCTAACAAAATATTTACCATTTTAAAAGTACACCTAGGCTGGGAACAGTGGCTCATGCCTGTGATCCCAGAACTTCGAGAGGCCAAGGAGGGAGGATTGCTTGAGCTCAGGAGTTCGAGACCAGCCTAGGCAACACAGTGAGACCTTGTCTCTACAAAACATAAAAAAATTAGCAGGGTATGGTGGCACATCACTGGCACACGCCAGCAACTCAGGAGACTGAGGCAGAAGGATATTCCAAGCCCAGGTGGTCGAGGCTGTGGTGAGCCATGATCATGCCACTACACTCCAGCCTGGGCAACAATGAGGCCCTGACTCAAAAAAATAAGAGTACATCTACTTAATCCTTTTGTACCATAAAGTAAACAATATTGTTAAAGTACACTGTGTATAATAAAGAAAACACACATAGCCGGGCTCGGTGGCTCAGCCTGTAATCCCGCGCCTTTGGGAGGCTGAGGTGAGTGGATTGCCTGAGCCCACGGGTTCGAGACCTGCCTGGGCAGCGACACCTCATCTCTACAATAAATAAAAAAAAAATCAGCCGGGCGTGGTAGTGCATGCCAGTAATTCCCAGCTACTTGGAAGACTGAGGCGGAAGGATCGCCGGAGCCCAGCAGGTTGAGGCTGCGGTGGCCGGGAGCGACCACTGCACTCTAGCCTGGGCGACAGAGTGAGACTCCAACAGAAAAAAAAAAAAAAAAAAAGAAAACACACATATATAAGATATATATATATAGTACACTGATCTTTACAAGAAATACTTAGAGAGAATATTAAAGGGACCTGATTATCTCTAATTGATAACATTATATAGAGGGCTCAGCGTCTTTTAGGTTTGAAATATTTTAAAAAGACAAAGAAGAAAGAATAAAAGCAAAGAACAAAGGAAATACACTGATTAAAAACCAGAAGAGAAGTAATGGCTTTGAAACACTACTTAATTTTGTAACTGTTTCTCATCCACAAAGAATAAACCTCACCAGGCTGTAATCCCAGCACTTTGGGAGGCCGAGGCAAGTGGATTGCCTGAGCCTGCGGGTTCGAGACCAGCCAGGGCAACTAGGTAAGACCTCATCTCTACAATAAATCAAAAAAAAAAAAAAAATTAGCCGGGCACAGTAGCTCACGTCTATAGTTCCGGCTACTTGGAAGGCTGAGGGAGAAGGATCCTTGGAGCCCAGCAGGTCGATGCTGGGGTGGTAGTGAATGAGCCACTGCACTCCAGCTTGGGCGACAGAGTGAGGCTCCAACTCAAAAAAAAAATAAAAATAAACCTCAACATTGAAGGTTTTATTCTCGAAACAAGTTCTGGAAGTAAAAGAGCTAACTCTGAGAGGATTATTGAGACTTCTCAATCCACAATCAATAGCAGCAACTCACCTCAAACTGGGTCACATCTCTGTAAGAAGGAAAACTTTCAACCACCAGCTGCAGTAACTTCTGTGCGCTATTTTCACTTTTTCGAACGCAATTAAGAAAAGAGCCTCCAAACTTCTCCAGCAGGATTTTCCCAGTTTCATTGAGAATCCGATGCCTCTCTTCTATCAAAGGCATGGAAACGTCTGTGTCAGAACGAAGTATATGCCGAACCTGCTCCAGGGTCACTGTCGCATAGTACGAGGCACTGGTTACTGGTATCCCTGTAGGGAGAAGAGAAAATTCAGAGGTGCAAGGTCACACTTTCACATTTATCAGATCCTTGCTTTTACAACACATAATTCTCAGGAAGCCAAACGAATATTAAAGGAGTGCACCAAAAGTGGATCAATTAAAAAAATCAAAAGCAAAACGCTTTCTACTTGCTGGTCTGTACTTACCCACCCATTTCTACTGCAATTTTACACCAGATGTATTCTGACTAAGTAGAATGTTTTATAATATCTGTCCCTCTGTCCTTCGGGCGTCATTCGAGTGGCATGCTTCGGAAAACTGATTTTCATTCGTAGGCTGTGATGGTGATACATACCAGGATCCTCTCCCACGGGCAAGAGGGCTTGCCTGGCACCTCAGTTAACACATGACCCCACGCCCGGGGCGCCCCTGGGGACCCCGCGGCACACCAAGACCCCAAAGGCTGCTGGGTCCGACCCGAGAAAGGCACCAACCTTCGTCCAGGGCTCGGTTGACTGCGGCGCACAGGGACCAGAAGCCACTGTACGTTCTCCCCCCGTACCCCACCACGCACTTGTGCTCGGCCTGCTCCGACCAAAAGGAGAAGTTGAGCGTGTCGGTCACGAACACCCAGTTGACCGCGGCCTCGTCGGCCGCCCTGGGGTTCAGCTCGTGAAGGGCCTTCCAGCCCTCCACGCGCAGCTCGGGCCCCGACACCTTGGGCAGCAGCAGCTCCGCCACCCTCCGAACGCCTCCGCTGTCGACGAACACATCCCGACTGTGTTCTGCGACGAACTTGGCGGACTCCCTGGGAGTCAGGGGCACGTCCATTGCATCCGGCCCTTGGAGACTGCGGAGCGACGCTCTGGACCTCGGCTGGGCCAAAGCATCCTCCCTCGCCAGGCGAGGCGAGTTCCGGGATCCCTCCGCGCCCCCCGCCCACCGTGGGATCACCGCCCGACACAGGGACCCGCCCACAGAGAGTAGCACCGAGTTTGAGCCCGGCCAAAGTCCCGGCTCCCGCCCGTTGCGCTCACGTGACTGGGAAACTCGCGCCCCTCGGGCCCGGCGCCGGGCCGAGGAGACAGGCACTTCCGGGAGCGCGACCCCGCCCACGCCCGCTCGGGGCGCGCCCAGGCCCCGCTTCCGGTTTCGAAGGTCCGGAAGCCGCCGCTGAGGGTCCGTCGGACGCCTGCCTTGAGTCGCCCACCTTGGGACCTGTGGCTTCGCCATCTTGTGCCTTTTTCCCACCTCCACTTCGGAGGGTCGCGGGGGGGACACGAAGGCTGCGGGTCGCCTCCGTGGCCTGGGGCGCGACGACTCCAGCTAGCGTGCCCCACGCGTCCCCTCGCCCAGCTGCCAGCCTCGCCTCTCCCCACCTCTCCTCTCCCACAGTCTGGACGAAACGCCCCGCCTCCGGGCCTCCTGGCCGCGACCAGCTTTCTGGCCGTCGGTCTCCGTGCCGGGGGTTCGATCCGCCCCCAGACTGTGACACTGGGTGGCGGGACCCCTGCTTGCAACCCCCAGGCGGGCCTCTTCTCCCCCCCCCCCCCCGAATTTCTGGCCGTTTGGAGACCAGATGAGTCTTTAGGATTAGTTGGAAGTTTTAGAGAAATGGATGAGGAAATTAGTGTATTCAGTTGCTAAGTTAACATCGTGTGTCTGGCATGGTGCTGAAGGACCGAGTGTCACCTAGCTTGGGTAATGGCAAAAGCGGCTGTTGTGACCCCCGTTTTGCAGGTGAAGTTGAGCGGTTCGTTGATGAGCTCCTAGCGCCGCGGCGGCTTGGGCTGAGATCCAGAGTTTTGATAATCGGCTCCCCCAAATCAAGGGCACTTTATGAGTCAATTACCAACGCCAGCCGTTCTGGTCCATCAAGTAATGAGTATATCAATGGCCTCACTGACGGGACAATGAGTAAGTTTCATCCTACTTTTTAAAGTTTGGAGAGAGGTACAAAAGTTACTTTAGTGATGATCAAATTTGCCTGGCGGTGCGGTATTAGTATAGAGGTATGTATTTTTATTCCCTTTCGGAGACTAAAATCCCCATGAATGACAAAACGCTCGCACCTGTGAAAATCACCTTTTGAGCATCGTCTGATTTGGGCTCGGTGGCTTAGCCTGTAATCTGGCGCTTTGGGAGGCTGAGGTGAGTGGATTGCCTGAGCCCGCGGGTTCGAGACCCGCCTGGGCAGCGAGACCTCATCTCTACAATAAATCAAAAAATCAGCCGGGCGTGGTAGCACGCGCCTGTAATTCCGGCTACTCGGAAGGCTGAGGCGGAAGGATGGCCGGAGCCCAGCAGGTCGAGGCTGTGGTGGCCGGGAGCGGCCACTGCACTCCAGTCCGGGCGGTGGAGTGAGACTCCAACCCAAAAAAAAAAAGAAAAGAAAATCGTCTATAGCCATCTCTAGTATGGACAGTAAAGTCTCACCCTTGGTATTTTTTTGACAGCGGTGCCCCTAGAAAAGCAGAAGCCCTTCATCTCTAGTCTCTTCATTGTGGTAGGAAAAAGGAGCTCTAGGGACACCACTAGGATTTTGTTTTCCAGAAAAAGTCACTAGTACTTTAATACATTTGTTGAGTAAAAACAATCTGTTGGTGTGGGATTTTTCCTTTCTTTTCCAACAGCTGTTAAGTACTGGGAGGCAAATTGATTAGCAAGAAAGTCTAGCAATCTACAAAAGAACCTGGGATAAGGTTAAATAATTTCAAACTTTTACTCTCACTGAAGCTTGATGGAAAAAAGGTCAACTTGAATTCCTACCTATGTCCAGGATATTGAATTAGACACTACATGCAGCTGAGACTGACTCAGAAAAAAATAAAGCCTGCTTCCTTCTCTCAATGTTGAGGTAAATCAACTTTATGTGTGTGGGGTTTTTGTTTTATTTTTATTTATTTATTTTTTGAGTTAGAGTCTCACTCTGTCGCCCAGACTGGAGTGCAGTGACCACTCCCGGCCACCACAGCCTTGACTCGCTGGGCTCCAGCGATCCTTCCGCCTCAGCCTTCCAAGTAGCTGGAACTACAGGCACGCGCTACCACGCCCGGCTAATTTTTGATTTATTGTAGAGATGAGGTCTCGCCAAGTTGCCCAGGTGGGTCTTGAACCTGTGGGCTCAGGCAGTCCACTCACCTCGGCCTCCCAAAGCGCGGAATTACAGGCTGAGCCACCGAGCCCAGCTTGTTTTATTTCGATCGAGGTCTCACTCGTGGCCCAGGCAGGAGTGCAGTGGCATGACCATGACAGTCATGACTCACGACAAGCCTCGACGTCCTGGGCTCAGGTGATCCTTTCACCTCAGCACCTCAAGTAGCTGGGACTACAGGTGCACGCCACCACACTGGCTCATTTTAAAATTTTTTTGTAGAGACAAGGTCTCACTCTGTTGCCTGGCTGGTCTCAAACTCCTAGACTCAAGCAGTTTTCCCACCTTGGCCTCCGAAAGTGCTGAGTACAGACATGAGCTACCACGCTCAGCCTTGAATTGGGTTTTTATTACTTCATATGAAAGCTACTGATCTGCCGGGCTCGGTGGCTCAGCCTGTAATCCCGTGCCTTGGGAGACTGAGGTGAGTGGATTGCCTGAGCCTACGGGTTTGAGACCCACCTGGGCAACTTGGTGAGACCGCATCTCCTCAATAAATCAAAAAATTAGCTGGGCGTGGTAGCTTATCCCTGTAGTTCCAACTACTTGGAAGGCTGAACGGAAGGATTGCTGGAGCCCAGCAGGTCAAGGCTGCAGTGGCCAGGAGTGGCCACTGCACTCCAGTCTGGGCGACAGAGTGAGACTTCAATTCAAAAAAAAAAAAAGAAAGCTACTGATCTTATCCAAGGAGCAAAGACAGACATGGTATCTGACATCTTATGATCATCTGGTGGGGAAGGTAAGCAGTCAAGGATCTGGGTGGGATCGTGCTTCAAGCAACAGAAAACCCGACTATAGAGTCTAAACAAAGAAGGGATTGTTTTTCTCATATAATGAGCAGTTCAGGGGTAGGTAGGTTCTTGGGGACTGGTGCAGCTATTTGGAAATGTCAGCAAGGATCTAGGCTCCTTACTTTGTGCCTAACCATTCCTAGCCTGTGGCTTTTGTCTTCATGGTTGTAAATGGCTCTACACTTATAGGCTTGTGTCCACAGAAGAAGGAGGGAAGTAAAAGGAGCAAAGGACCAAAGCAGCATGCCGGCTGAGTATGTTTCTTCTGAAAACTTTTACCAGAAGCTCCACCCCGTAGGCACAGGCTTTTGAAGAGATTGCAGTGACCTTTAAACATAATCCCTAAGCTTGCATTTATTTATTTATTTGTTTGTTTGTTTGTTTGTTGGAGTTTCATTCTTCACCCAGGCTGGGGAGCAGTGGCATGCTCAAGGCCAACACAGCCTCTACCTCCTAGGCTTAGGTGATCCTTCCATCTTAGCCTTCCAAGTAGCTGGAAGTACAGGCATGCACCACCATGCCTGGCTAATTTTTTTTTTGGTTAATTGTAGAGATGAGGTCTTGCCATGTTGCCCAGGTTGGTCTCGAACCCCTGGGCTCGGGCAATCCCCTCGCCTCCTCTTCCCAAAGTGCTGGAAGCTTGCATTTTATTTTATTTTTTTGAGTTGGAGTCTCACTCTGTCGCCCAGACTGGAGTGCAGTGGCCACTCCCGGCCACTGCAGCCTCGACCTGCTGGCGATCCTTCCGCCTCAGCCTTCCAAGTAGCTGGAACTACAGGCATGTGCTACCACACCTGGCCAATTTTTGGATTTATTGTAGAGATGAGGTCTTGCCAAGTTGCCCAGGTGGGTCTCAAACCTGCAGGCTCAGGCAATTCACTCACCTCAGCCTCCCAAAGAGCTGGGATTACAGGCTGAGCCACCGAGCCCAGCTGCAGCTTGGATTTTAAAGGTTAACAAAGGAGGCATCATCAGTGCCTCTATCGCTTTTCCCCTTTCTGAACGGTAACTCTGAACAGTTAGATTAAAGCTAAATTACACATCAAGCTCTTGGCAACAATTATTACTATAACTTCTGTTTTTCATCATGATAGGCTATGGGAGGTACTTGAAATAGAGAATTAAGAGATATTGTTGAGGAAAGGTTGCAAAGGTTGACTAGACGATGGGTGGACAATTGACATTGCCAGAGAGGAGGCTGTCGTCTGAAGGAGCTACACGGAGAAGTAAAGTGGATTTTGTGAAGATAGGACACCGATTATTTTTACTTCCCTTGGTTCCCCAGAATGACAGACTTAAACCCCCAAGAAGGCTTAGTAGAAGAGATATGGTTCACTACAGTGTAACTTTTCTCTGTTCCTTTCTTCTTGATTTATTCATATTTGGTGTTTAAGATTGACCACCTCCTTGAAATTCTCATTTGACTTCCAGGGCATTCATTATATGATTCTAGTTTTCTTAGTCCCATTAAAGGCTCTTATTCTTCCTACTCTCTTCTGAGTGTGGAATGTCCCTTCTATAAGCTATCACTTAGCGACAGAATGGAATCTTTCTGGTAAAAATCATGACTCTTAAATACATCAATTTCTGGTTAAAATGTTAAATGTTTAAATAAATAAATTGTTTTTATTAAATTAAAATAAATCTATTGTTTCCCATTGTATATCAATATTACTATAGTTCAAAACCAGTTAGAATTTTTTAAACCGTATCTTGTTTTCAATTAGTGAAGTTAATATTTCCTATTTAGGCGGAAGAGCTAAGTAGTTTTTTTTAGTGCAAAAATAAACAGGTACAAAGGAGTATTTGACTTGGATTCCCTTGAAAACAGAATCAGAGGCAGAGATTACGTGCTGAAATTTTTTCTATGAGATACAATCTTTGGG